TTTAAAACATAAACAACTCTGCAAGACAATTTTCTGTTTCCTGGTTTACTCTCTCATTTTATTTTAGTTCACAGATAATAGCGAAAGAAGATCTATGTATTGCAAATGGCAAGGTAAGTTGTATCTCAAAATGAAGATGGACATACTAACAAGATGACAGTGTTGAGACTTTAAAGAAGGTATTTGGGGTTGTGGGTGGTTTTGTTGTTGTTTTTGCTTTTTAGTCTTCATAGCTTGGTTTACATGTGAAGTGTAAAAATCGTATGATAGAAATAAGTATGTTTGTTTGTTCATGTGGCCAGAATTTTCTTAGATATTGCACCATTTGCTTAGCTGCTGTAATATCTCACATGTGCAAACCTTTTTTGATAGCTTGCTTGGGTGTTGTACTGTGATATCATATGTCTGGACTATGACGGAAACATTTTGGATGCCAGTGCCTTTGCTTTGTTAGCAGCATTAAAAAACGGTAAGTCTTCTCTAGAGCAAGAGATGCACTCTGGTTAGCATTGCTTGGAGAAATACGTTAGTTTTGAATAATGATGAATAGGTACCTGGTTCACAATTCCTTAAGACTGCTTTTTTGCTGTCATTTGGATGCTAAATTACTAAAATGCAAATACAAAGTGGAAATGATGGTCTGGATGCCGTAGATGTGTAACACCTGGGGAGCAGGATCTTTTTGTATGTGTATTATTGCTCTCTTATAAGACTAATAGCTAATCTGCCATGTGTTGTTCTGTGTCAGAGATTTGAATCTTTCAGTGGTGGTTATAAACAACTTTAATGTCTAGATCAGGGTCTTACCTTGTTAATGTATTTTGTGTAGGCAGAATAAGTTGTTGGGGGCTTTGCTTATTTGTCACAACAGAGTATTCCTAGCTTAAGGCATTGTAGTTTGAAAAAAACTGTGTTCATGCATGCAACGTGTGGATTGATTATTCACAGGTACGTGGGTTATAAATGCACGTAGGAGGCAGTATAAAAGGAAGCTTACAGCAAGGCCTCCTTTTCTAAATGAATTGCTTGCCTTTGAATTCCTATAGCTACTTTGCTCTTGATTTTCTTGTCTCCAACACTGTATGGGTTGTCAGAGCAAGAGTTATCTGAAGATCAGATTGCACGGATTTTTATATGTCCAGTAGGCTTTTTGGGGAAAAGTCCTTTTTGTTAACTATGACTGTAAAGGTATTGTAATTGTATGGTGTTTTGGAAGCAGAAAATGCTTCAGTGTAAGCAAGGATGTTAGCTTGAGGAGAATACTTTCTCAAATGGGTAGTTCTAAGTTAAATACTTTCCTCGAATTCAAGAAATTTTTGTACAGAACACCAGTAATGTAGCCAAAACTCTATTCTGATCTGTTTTCAGTGGCTTACCGGTATGGTGAAAGAACAGCTTAAATATTTCAGTAGTCTCTAGGCCTAGTAAAACCAGCAATGTTTAATATTATATCATTGTCATTTCTTTATCTCTGCAGTACAACTGCCATCAGTTACTATAAATGAAGAAACTGGTTTATCAGAAGTTAATTTAAAACAGAAGAATCCTCTGATTATCAGAAAGCATCCAGTTGCCACATCATTTGCTATATTTGATGAGTAAGTTCATAACTGTTTTGTACTTACGAAAACAACTGTGTATGTAAAAGAAGCGAAAGACAGAGGATGCTACCAGTGATGTTTCTGCGCTGCTTATGTGCTTCTGCTAGTGAAGAATGTGCAGTCTCAGGCAGCACTGTTTCACTTGATCTTAAATCCACGGCCTCTCTTGTTGAACTGACCTGTAGTTGTGCGACATGAATGAGTATGCAGAACAAAACGAAGTCTGTCCAACTCCTTCCTCTGACTTACAGCAGAACTGGTTCTCAACCTAAAAGATATGCTTAAGAGTACAGAAATAGGTATTGTGTTATGTTTTTGCAGTATCTTTGAGAAGAAAGAATGTTACCAATGCAGTTAATGTTTTAGAAGCCTATGTAAATAAGTGATAGAAAAGATGGTAGGTTTTGAACAGCTTATACCAAGGATTTAGTCAACAGAGGAAGTAAGAAGTAATGGTCTAGTTAGAACAACAGAACGTCTAGATAACTGAAAACGTAATTACCCAAGATGAACTATGATCAGCACTCTTAACTCATTGTTCGTCTAGGTAAAGCATCTGATTATGAGAATTCAAAATAATCACGTCTGATAACTTGACTCCTCACCTGAAATTGTTTACTGGCTCTTCATTAGTCTAAGTATGTTAAGTATGTGTTCTGCTGCTGTTCATAAGACATACAGTTATTTATGGCGGTATCCATTTGAAAAGTAGAAAATGACAAATAAGGTGCTGCTCACTGTGCTATGAATCTGATTTAAGATTTAGGTATATTTAGAGACTCAGGGGTTTATGGCACATCAATCACAGAAATGATTAATAGGCCCTTTCATTCAAATATGAGATGGGGTGCGGGGAGCACTAATCTCAAATGTTAACCAAGTGATTACCAAAATGAATCAAAGCAGAAAGTGATCAGTACTTTAGAGTGCTTCTGTTAATTGCTTTAATACCTATTCTTGTGGGTCTGAAGTTTGACGTAGACTGAAAGCGAGAGAGTTTGGATAGCATGATAGGCAGATGGTTGTCAGTAGAATGTTACTTGCACGCAAATCACACATACTTACCAATAGACAAAAAAGTTGCCTTTGGAAGAAAGCTTTCAGTGACAGTCTGTTGGGCTTTGTTCCCTTCACTGAAACTGGCTGTTGCATCAAACAAGTTACTTAAGTCTCCCTGTAGCTCCTAAAACTAAATATTGAGGCGGGGGTGTTTTGTTTTGTTTGTTTTTTTCAATTCTGCTTTATTAGTTTTTCTACAGCTGTTGACACAGGCCTCTAAATAATACGCTTTACATATGCTGACTTCCAGAGACATTCTTCTTCTGCGTAAAAGCTTTCCTTGAATAAATAGAACTTCTGAGTTGTTGCTGGATAGCGTGGCCATGTGAGGAACACTGATGCAGAGCACTGTGCAGCTCCACAGCTGGCTCCTGTGGGGTCAACCTGTGCATGAATAAAAAGTCCGATGCATCAGACTCTCCGTGCGTGCCAGGTCCCTGTATCATGCAAAGGGCCGATGCTGCACAGTGCACGTGGGTAGAATTAATAAAGCAGTATTTTCGAGTAGCGTAGCTACAGACTGATGTTTTTGTTACGCTATTGCTATTAAATGGCAATCCAAAACTATTGGTGAAGTCTTAAAGTACCCAGAAAACCTTTAATTATGCATTGAACTCAGATGCAAATTGAAAAATTCTGTTACCTTTCCATCTATTTTGTGTAATGAGCTCCTGTAGCCTTGCTACTGACTTCCCCCCACAAACTTGTCATAAACATCACTTAGCATAGGTGTACTCAGCTGCTAAATTGAGTTTGATTACATCAATTCTAAATTTAACAGCGTAAACTGAGGCTTCATGAAAACTTCATCTAAAGTCTTCCCTGTCATGATACCTGCACTTCAGCCAAGTGTTTGTCATGGTAGTGATTTTTTAAAAACTTTTTTTTTTTTTTTTGAAGAAACTAAGGCTGAATGGTGGTGGTTCGGCTTTTTTAAGTTTAAGTTTTTCTTGTTGTGCAAAGTTGGCTTATAGTTTAGATCCTCCTTTTACTTTTTCCACTTTTTCCATTAGTTTGCTCTATTTTTAACTTATTTAATGGTTCAAAAATAACAACATTTAGTATCTTTTAATGATCTGCATCACATGATGTATGACATGGCTGCCTTGAGGAACCCAGTAAATCCATTTTTGAACTATTCCCAGTCTGAGTGGTGTTAAGAGTTCTCTGACAAGAAACTGAGAACTACTTTGGTGAATTGGAAATGAGTTTTGCCTTAAGGTCTAGTAGAGATTAGTGCAGCCTACACCTAAAACCAATGCCATTTTCTTTGCGTAACTATGAAATAAGTGACTGCATATTGCATTTTCCTGCAATACAGGGGTGTCATGTCTGTGAAACCGGCATAAAGCTGTATTTCCAAGAGACAGTATTTTAACAGACACATACACTTGAATATGTGTAATCTCCCACTTCCTTTTTTTTGTTTTCTTCTTTTTTTAAATTGGTGCATTTTGGTGAGAAAACACATAAGCCTGAGCACTAAATCCACCTACAAGTATTTTGTAAGACTACAGTAAAAATTAGTAAGTTATGCGTACTTTGCAATAATGTTAATGGAGCAACATATACTGATGTGTCTGCTTATGTTCTTCTTTTACAAGCACATTACTCATTGTTGATCCAACTGCTGAAGAAGAAGATGTAGCAACTGGAACAGTAACTATTGTAACTGATGATGAAGGCAGACTATGTTCCGTCCATAAACCCGGTACTTCTAAGTTTATTACACAGGAACCTATGGAGATAATAATTTTCCTTGACCCAGATGTTATGTACCTGCTTTTCTTTGTAAAACGTGGGTGCTTTATCATAACAGGCTGTCTGCTTGAGTACTTATTGACTCGCTCTTGAAATTCATTTTGAAAAAGGTGGCATGGTGGAAGTTGTAGGTCCCCATGATCATTGTAGGTCCCTTCCAGCTGAAGTAGTCTAGTCTATTCTAAGTTCAAAAAGAAGTCACAGCTTGACCTACATACAGCCAAGGACAGATTTTGAGCATGTCTTCTGTTACACCTCCAGTTTGTTTCTGTTTTCTTTGCCTGAGGCTAGAGCTGGGGAAGCTGTATGCTCCCCAGATGAAAGTTGTTGGTCATGATAATTATTGTATTACTTAATACTCTCATTTGGAAAACACATTATCGAGATACTTAACTGAAGTGTGAGTAGAAAATCAAACTGTTCCCTTTTAATTTTTAGGTGGAAGTCCTCTTACCGGAGCCAAGCTTCAGGACTGCATCACCAGAGCAGTTACAAGACACAAAGAAGTAAAGAAGCTGATAGACAAAGTAATAAAAAGTATAAAGCCCAAGTGAACAAAAGGAGAGATCTTCTCAAAAATGGATTTGTAAAAATTGTATTTGTTACAGTGTTCACAAACCTTTTATACTAAATAAACAAATACCAATACTACATTTACAAAATTCATTTTTTCTAAAATGTTTTTCACCCTTATACTATGTACAATGCTGCCAAGTGGTAAAAAATACAAGATAGAGCATTCTGTTAAAAAAATTAAGTGACTTAAGGAAACCAGACCCTAGCTGATTTATAGATGAAATCTCAACGTTCTGCAGGGTTAGCTTCCACAACCAGTTCATTTATTTCAGTGTAATGTCAAAAGTTCATTTTCCACCAGTAATATAAAACACTGATTTGTTTTTAAGCTTTCTCCTTTGTAATTGGGGGCAGGGGGAATATCTCCTCTGAATAATTTTTTTTATTGGGGGGGTGGGAATAAACAAGTAAGTCTTAGGATTTTGGAGGGGCCGGTGTTCCTCTTTTCCTTTTACTTTTTGAGTGGCTGCCTGAATGCTGTTGATGATGCAGGTGAGCTGCTTGTGCTGCTGCTGCCGCTGCCATAGCCATTTGATGCTGCAAGAATCGCAACTGCTGCCATGAAGAAGGGGGAGAAAAAGCTTATTAGTGTTGACTATAAAGCTATGTTTCCCATCAGGAAGAATGAGAGGAAGGTGCGGGGGGGGGGGGGGGGA